TGTCATCGACACGAAAAGAAGAAGATGGTCTAACATTGGGATTTATTGAAACGGCATTAAGCGCGTCCGTTTATAATATAGGATGACTTAACAGTTAGTTCTACCGTGTCGTAAAACCTTGGACAGTTACCTTGAGACTAAGCTCAGGTTGGGGTTCGATTCTCCGATATCGGTACCTACACTAGAGTAAATGTAGACGATTTTCTTGTTTTCCTTTACATTTACAAATATTATAATATAATAATTACTCGCAAACGAATATCAAAAAACAAATCAAAGAAATATTAAAATGTATATATTATTTACAGTCTATGATGTCAGTTTGTGGGGGAGGCCTATGTTCAGCAGTGGACTCAAACAGACTGAAATGATGATGACAAAGACTTACCAAATTTCCTTTGAATTTATTATTTTATTGTTTCATGTTGTCAGTTCATATTGAAGAGTTGTTTCATATTTCATTGCGTTGTTTCCCCTTCATATTTATCTGATCTCCGTTATTGAATTACGGAATTTTCCTTTGCCACAAACATATATCATATTCATGATATTCCATTGTTTCAATCATTTTAAAGTTAGATTGAGACAGGAAACATTTTCTTACAAAATGATTTTACAAACATAAAGTGAGAAACTTTGTTTATGGTATAATAAAAGCTGTCATTTTAATTAACTTCCAAAATGTAAAGTTCAGAAACTTTATAATTTCGAAGTATATTAACGTCTTGAGTGCATAACAATTTAATTATCCCCATAAACTCGGGAACTGTAAATCAAAACTTCCGAGTTTAGATGTTGAATTAAGCTGCATTGTCTGCGATGCTGCAAGTTTCGTGTTAAATTGGTTTCAATAATAACAAATGGTGAAATTTAATTAATTTCATGTGATATTTCACAAAACTATAATTTGAGGCACTATTTGCGGGTAAAATAATAGTCCATACTCTATGTTCTCTACTACTACCTACTCTCTCTATCTACTCTATGTACTCTATGTTACTTATGCGAATGTATGTATGTTTGTCCTTCTTTCACATCGCAACGGTGCGATGTTATGGTGCGAATTTTGTTTTGGAGGCTACCGTTGTGACCTGGGATCCTTCAAGAAGAGAGCATAATATTCTCTCCTTAAAGGCCGGTAACGCATTTGTAAGCCATCTGGTGTTGCAGATGTTCGTGGGCGTCGGTGATCACTTCCCATCAGGTGCGCCCCCTGCCCTTTGCCTCCTTTTTTCATAAAAAATCCGCGGTAAAACATCTCGTTCACTTGGGAACATGCAGTATGATGTATGTTTGAATCACACCATACTAAAAGTAACAATGTTTTGCTCTTTCTTTAATGTATCATGTATGATAAACAAACCATTGTTAACTCCCTTCGACCACGCGGGCGAAATCGCAGATAACAGCTACTGTTAAATAAAGCTCTTTGTAAAAAGAGTTTATTTCATACTTTCGTGTGCCTGAGCATTTCATCATACGATAGGTGGATTATTTTTGTAATCACATTTAAGATATAGAATATTCAATTGCAAAAAATTCAATAGCAAAAAGAATATTCTAAGTGCGATTGTAACATGTTTTCAACAAATGTACATAGTATGTAAGGAAACAATTTCTCAAAATTCTCCCTTCTAGTCATGAGCCATGATATTTGTTCTCTACTTTTTATTTTACTCCACATTTTTTCGTCCGTAGTTTTTGTACTAGTAAGTCCTTTGGTACTACCATGACTCAATCATCACTTATCAAATTAACGAATTTAAAAATAATTAATACTATGTTTTCTCTCTGAAGACGGTGATGTGATCTGCTAAAACGTTGGCACGGTTAACCTACTATTTCATTCAATGGTTTCTGTGTTATACACTTTTCACGGTTTCTGTATTAAATTTTGTTCACTGGTGTGACTGTCGCTTAACTACGGGCCATCAATCGGTCAATCTATCAGCCTATCGTAGTCCACCGCTGGGCCAATGTCTCCCTAAGGGTAGGCCAAAGTGCACGAGCTTCCTATTTCCTCATCCAGCCACTACCTTCCTCAGGTCGTCAGGACTTCCCACACTGTGTATGCCGATGTGGGCTCCATTCGAAAACCCGTCTACTCCAACACCAATCGGTTATTTTTTTTATGGGACAAGTTGCCAAGCGAGCAGGCGGTTCTCCTGATGTTAAGTGAATACCGCCGCCCATGGACATTTGCTACACCCGAGGGTTATAGACACGTTGACAACTTTTTGCAAATTGGGATCCGGCTACCTCACTCACCGGACGAAACGCGAAAGTATTATACTTCCACTTTACGCCGGTCTTCTGTGAGGACGTGGTACTCACCCGGACGAGCCTGCCCATTCGTGCAACAGCCGAGGCTGCTGCGTGGCCCTACCACCGACAGATGTGGCCAGCTCACTGCAACTTCAGCACAATTCTGCTACGGGCCGTAATGCGAGACATTTTTTTGTGAAATTAATAATCCAATATACGTCGGCCTTATGTGCCTGAGGTGTGTGCTTCCCCGGATGATGCTGCCCATTACTGCGACAGTAGAAGCTGCTGAGTTACTATTTTATGCAGACACAGTTTAAAAAATACGTACTGTACAAAGAGCATATAGCGTATCATTAAAGTTTCTTCCTTGCCACCGTGACTTTTTATGGTTTTGTCAACGAGTAGACTGCGGCGCGCATAAGCGGCGAAGCGAATGGAGTAGTTTCGACGTCGAAATTGTACTGGCAGGTGGGCTTTTAGGCGGGGTATAAAAACGGAATAAATATTTTCAATATGGCCCCCATATTCGGCGGGGCCCCCTCGCTAACGTCGTAAAATATTCATCAGGCCACGCGTCGGCACGAGATGCCATAGGACAAGGGGTCCCCTACCCTAATTCAATATTTCTCGCATTTCTCGACGAAGTCAACCGTCTGCACCTTTCTCTAAACGCCCGTGTAGTGCCAACGTAAACATTAGTTAAAGTATGAAAACCTATAATAAATATCATCATGGTGTTTTAAAACATTTTTGTATCATCGTCTATTTAAAACTTCTTTTTATAAACTCTTATATCGTATGTTGATATCGTATTTATTACTACCTGAGCCCGCCACTTTTTAAAAATTACTCCTTATGACATCAGCTATCTGTTAGTGAAAGTCCCGTCAAATCTCGGAAACGGCTCCAGCGATTTTCATGAAATTTAGTATGTGCGTAGATTTGGGGGCGAAAAATCGATCTAGCTGGGTTTCATTTTTAGAAAATGTAGTTTTATCCCTATTTTCAGGGAATGAAAAATATCATTCGAATATGACAGTAAATTTGACAGCCGCAAAAGCTCGGTATTAGCTCCGTCGGTAATCGGGCGGCCCCAAAACAGACGGCCGCGGTTCGTATAACGATCATTTATACACTTTTTTTTCTTTACTTTTTTTCTCTATCAGATTATTTTCTTTATTATTAATTTTTTTTTATTGCCAAAATACATGATTTACCAAAAAAAAACCGAGCAACACGCGGTCCTTCAGGTACTTTTATTTATCTGTATAAGTGTATCGATTTAAGACTTAAAAATTATCGAATTTATTATTTTTTATTGAACAGTCTCATAGTTTTCTACTTAATTTTTTGATGTTGTATTTAATATTTATGAGTTTTAAATTCAATAGAACTTTTCATTTTTCAGAAGAATTGTTAAATACGATGTTTAATTAGATACATTTTTATGTAAATTAAACTTGAAATTTATAATCTAATTCAATTTCAGTTTTGATATAACACGCCGTTCGATTTTTCGTCGTCACAAAACTCATCGATGCACGCCATACTGTGGAATAACGCACTGTCTCTAATCATCATCAACATCCTCCCGCCCTTATCCCATCTAGGTGGGTTCGGTAAAACATGTGAATCATGTTGGCGGTTTTGGTTATGTTTTTTACGACGGGTCGTCTGTTTGACGTCATCTCTAAACAAACACCCAGGCCCGGAATGATTATCTGTGGGTCACGCAAATACTTGTCCCGTGTGGGAATCGAACCCACGACTTCCGACGCCGAAGCTTATAGCTTAGCAACGGCGCAACCGAATCAATAAACCATATAATAATTATAATTGGCTAGCTTTTCGCTCGCTTCTTCGCTCGCGTAGAAGCCCTAAAATAAATATCTTTCTTTAATATATATATATATATATATATATATATATATATATATATATATATATATATATATATATATTTCAAATTTTTTTCTAATTAAAAAATAGCCTATGTCCTTTCTCAGGCTCTAGACTATCCGTGTATCAAAATTCATTTAAATCGATTCAGCAGTTTTGGCCTGGAAGCGAGACAGACAGACAGTTACTTTCGCATTTGTAACATTAGTATGGATTATAAACATGAGAGATAAAAAAAAACCGAAAGAAATGACCAAAAAATCCCAAAGGCCGAAACAAAGCAACGTTTTAACACCTTTTGAAAAGCAATTTAAATTTGAATCATTTTGCTCGCGTCATTTTCAATTTATATTATTGATGACGCACCGAGTGTCGACGTTAACAAGCGTCGCAAATTGACTCGCTGTGATTTAGTAAAAGGCATTGTCATCATCTGTAAGCTTACGCGTCATGTTTCGTTTTTATTTACGAGTACGTCGTTCGCTGTACAAAATCAGGTATGTTGGTTTATCACGAAAGGGAACAAACTGATGGCTTAGCGGCTGCGACTTTAGACGTGCTATTCGGTTGCTTGGGTTGCAATCCTAACTTCGAACATTTTAAGTGACAGACGAGAAATTAGTCTTCTCCAAGTTAGTGCTCCTTGTGCCAGCTCCTGAAAGCTATTATCAAAAATTTCTTCCAGAGGTATTTATAGTTTTTGCTGTCTCTGCTTAGTTTCTTATGACTGAAGACTTGTAAACATCTTGTGATTTAAAATACCCATGTGAGAGGAAATAAAAATTATATTATGTCTGTGGTAGGGCCACGCAGCAGTCTCGGCTGTTGCACGAATGGCCAGGCTCGTCCGGGTAAGTACCACGAATAATTAGAATATATATTAGAAGCATCATAATTTACAAATACCATGTGCTCACAATGCTAACAGCCGCCTCCAATGGAGGAGCATCGCTAGAAGTGCGGATGCCTTACCACCTACTCTTGCACCTACCACTATTCTTCACCACGCTACGGGATGATTGGGAGAGAGTGCCAAAAGATATTAAGCTTTTAATCGTTCTTCAAGGTTCAATAGCAATATATATATATATAATAGAGGATAATTCTATGGTTTGGTTGGTGGAGTTAATAGCTTCAGCGGTGCAAGTCAAGTAGTTAAGTTTGTTAATGATTAATATATTTTATTAGTAACTTAAATGAGAAATATATGTAGACGTATCCTGTTATCACCGTAAGCGATAAAAATAAAGAAGGGAATAGAAGAGGAGAAGCGAGACATAACACATATTAACGCTGTTTCAAATTAAAGCCCTTTGCGCGGACGGTCACGGAAACTCGTGAAAGTTTCAGAGGCGGGATATTATCCCTTATGAGGAAGCGTATTAAATGTGAAATCACCCTTTTAACCTGCAATTGGGCGAGTCGTTCTGTTTTATGGGCGGAACATATACCTACATACATATAAACATTTAACGTCTTGTTCTCACTTTCTTTTGTATTTATCACCACAGATCCCTGAAGTCTTTAAAATATATATGTTTAAATTAAACTTTTTAAGTTCTGTAAACTATTAGTTAGTTTACAGAACTTAAAAAGTTTGATTAGTTAATTTATATTTTAATAGCGTAAGTGTGCATTAAATATATAAGAGGCTTTATTAAATGGTACAAGTAGAAATTAAGAAGACAAACATAGCCCCTATTTTTTGTGCGGACCTTACTCCCTTTCTCAAATTTGCCGCAAATAAAACAAACCCATTTTCTTCTGGGTTTTAACAAAACCCTTATTGTTTAGTAAAATAAATGACCTTGTACCCAGATTTGTCCGCCAATACAATATGACGCTTTTTACGGGTTTTTAACTTTTTTGCGCGAAACCCTTATAGTTTTTCTAAAATAAAAGTTCCGTTTACCATCAGCTTGTTATTATGTCAATATATCATAACTTAAGGCTACTTTTTGCCGGTACACCGTAAATTCTATATAATATTGCATCTTAGATTTTAATAGTTCAAACCCCATTTTAAAGCTTATGTTTGCCAATATTTTGTTCTAATTTTAATATTTTCATACAAAAAGTTTCGTTTAAAAATTTCAATGACATGTGATAATGACCCATCGTTTTATACTTTATAACAGCTGCTTCACGGATAATTCACCAATCTCAGCTTTATGATTGCCTAAAAATCCTAGACTTATTACCTTTAAAGACAACCAAGCAATCCAATCAACCGGTTTAGTTTGTTGTTATGTTGCTGGATGTCTTTAATTCGGAAACGATGTACAGTAAAATATTTTAGAGCTTCTTTTGGAGCTTATCATATGTTTTGAATCGTCGAAATTATTAATATTAACTTTTTGTTTAGCTAACAATATAAAGTTTTTGTTTGGTGTTAATTTCTACGCTTTAATACTTAACGTTATGTTACAAATTCAGTTAAATGTCTCTCCACTTTGCCGGTTACTATTATAATTTACGGAGTGATATGTCGTATACCGGCGACCTGCCCCGGCTTCACACGGAAGCAATGTATTATACATATAAACCATCCTCTTGAATCACTCTATCTAGTAAAAAAACCGCATCAAGATCCGTTGTGTAGTTTTAAAGATAAGCATACATAGGGACAGACAGACGGCGGGGCGACTTTGTTTTACACTATGCAGTGATATAAATTCCTTACCGACAGAGAAAATCTTACCGCCGCACAGTCGCAGTAAACGAGGCAGAAAGCCATTTATGACACCTCGAGCACACGAGACCCCCGGACGCCCCCAATAAAACCCAATTTTAGCGCCCGACCACGCCGCCAGTTAACGAAGAGCCCAGTCGCATTATCCCGCACCTCAGCCGGCCTCGGTACGTTAACACGTACGTGCACGCGGAGGTGAGGAGTGAGGTCAGGGTAATCTGGGCGGTGGCTTCACCCGACTCTTGGGGATTTCACGGCCAATGCTACGCTCGCGGTGCCCCTGGAAGAGCAGTATTGGATCCCGCCATCTAATGAGCCGGCAAATAAATGTTCACTTGCGTTTAAGACCCCTTTAGCGCGCTGGTATCAGTTTAGCGCGCTAGTATAAGTTAAGTTAGGTTTAGCCGTTTCATTTCGGCGATATTTGCAATATTATACGTTCGATCGTTACGACGATCGTTGATAAAACATCGTCATTTTCTGATTTAAAATGTTGGTCTTTTATTCGTTAGATTTTTCCTTTGTTACAAAAGAGATATATAGTCTGAAGTACGGCCTATATTCTATAGAAGTTTAGGTTTATGGTCACTTATTACATTTTTGTACTAGTTTGAATATGCTAAACTATTCTTCCTATCAGCAATTGGAATGTAACTGAGACAGTATATACATAGATTGCCTATAAACATTCAGATGTTACAGATATCACTGACGTGGTGATGCCCTTAAATAAAACGTATAATTCGCCACGTCAGTTAAACAAACGAACGTCGCTTGAGCGTAACTTGACGTCACTCAGGTATCATTTACATAAATTACGCAACGTCACACAGGACGTCTGTCTCCCGCCTTTGACGAGCTTCGAGTGGAAAAACGTCCAATCCATTACACCGCTGACTGCGAGAGCTTTTTTTTGTTTTGAAATGATTTTTTAATGTATGAAATCAGCCGATGATAATTTATTGTGACTACTAAAACCCGAAACAATAAAGATTTGAAATTCCAAAGGCGCCAAAAGAAGTACAACTTCGAAAAGCGAAATATAATAATTCAGTACTGAATAGAATAAAAGTAAGTAAAGTAACAGCCTACAAATGTCCCACTACTGGGCAAAGGCCTCCTCTGTATAGAGGGTATCAGAGCATAGTCCACCACGCTGCCCCAATACGGATTGGCGGACTTCACATATTTTCGAAATTTTTTTTCGAAAATATGCAGGTTTCCTCACGATGGATGGTTTCCTTAACCGCCGAGCACGTGATAAGTCAGCACTTACAATTAACAATTTCATTGGTGCTGGCACCGGGGATCGAACTCAGGTTGCTCAAGTAAATTGAATTAAAGGCGAGCGCCCGGATACTGAGCTATCGCGTCTCTAAATAGAATAAAGTAAAAAGTAAAGTAAAGGTATATATATAATAATAAGAAGACATGTATAGAACATGTCCCACTGCAGGGCAAAGACTTCCTCTGTATAGAGGATATGACTATGTTTTCCTTCACCGCTGAGCACGTGATGATTCAGCACTTAAAATTAACAACTTCGTTGGTATTGGCACCGGGGATCGAACTCAGGTTGCTCGACTATATTGAATTAAAGTTGTCTCTTAATAAGTACAATATCTCTTTAAATTATTTCTCTTCTTGTCTAGTCTTGTTTATACCATTATAATATTTTATAATGGTATAATCAAGACTAGACAATCCACAAATCCTATATGGATTAATAAATTGAAGAAACAAAACCATTATCAATCCGCGAATATTTCTGAATAGATCTCTCATGTTACTTTCTTTGTTATTCTGTTTTTGGTTCATATCGTTATAACAGTATTAGTGATGTAAAAGTCGAATGGATTGCCAACCTCAATAGCCCAGTCCGTGTAAATCAACTAGTACTAACGACTCACACACTTGGACTAGATATTAGTCAGGTGGAGTCTAATACTTGAGTCCGGAAATCGTCTTCATTCCATGTTTTGATGTTATGAAACCGAATACATGAACATAATGTTCAAAGCGTTGTTGTTGGTAGCAGAAGTTTGTTAAGTTTCCCAAGCCACTTAGTCAGTTTCGGAATTTCCATGCTGCTGAGCCAAATAGATTGTTTGTAATAAACAATCTTCGTTACTCTCTTGTTACTACTAAAATATTTTAATAAGACTCAAAATATGGATATCTCGTAAGTGTAGTTGTAACTGTAGTAACTGTTGTAGCTGTGTTAGTTGAAGCAGTATGACACCATAATCAGAAGTGGCATTGTCTTTTTTAAAATGAATAATATTACAACCGCACAGCAGTTATTGTTGTTCTCAAAATGGACAGGATCAACGGTTAGTTTAGGGCGATAAGACGCCTTGTTCTCAAGATTAAGTTTCTGTTACTACCTTTACTAACACGCTCTAATGATCCACATAACTGCAGTAATTACAAGCGGGCGTCATCACTTGTCATGTCTTGAGTTAGGTCATTTGCCCCCTTTTTACATTTTCTTTAAATTATGTAAAGGTTTCTCGTGACTTTAAATGTAAAACGATTTTATTTTTGGATTTAGCCAAATAGAATAGAAAAAAGTATATTCATTACAAATTAAATTACCCCGTGTCGTATCAATTTCGCATGTAATGGTTATAAAGTCATGTGAATTAGAATTGAATAGTCTTCTTAAGTTGATTTACTTAGATGCTACTATATACATGAGTTTCTAAATGGAGTAAGGATTATGTATTACGTATTAACGTTACTCAATGGCTTTGAGGCGTAATCTAGTGAGCAGCATTAGTTTAAGTGCCAATCATATTTGGGTAAATTCTATTTATGAAACGGAAACATTAAATTGTTGAGTAAATAGTGTATGTTTTTAAAGCGTTGGCTGCGGCAAAAAAATAATTTATTTTTAACACGCTTATATTAGTTTGACCTGTACGTACTCGTATGTATGAATGTAACGGAATATGTAATTTTTCCCTACTTTGAACGATCACATTCGAACCAAACTTTGCACACTCGTCAAAGACAATGCAATAATTTAAATAGTTTTTCCCATTATCCTGATCAGGACCTTCAGGATTTTATCATTTATGATTCCTTCGTGGCCATGAACGCAAAGGCAAAAGGCGCGAAAGGATTCGAAACGTCGGGTATTACAAAATCAAAATAAAAACGTGATAAAATCCGTAAACTAGTTTCATTTCATATGTAAAATATTCGCGTCAATATAGGACCTTCAGGGTTAGCTATTTTCCAAATCCGATACCCGGTAGATTCCCAGTAGTTTGTGCCAAGTACGCATTTAAATAAATGTTTAAAAAATAAGAAACAAGTTTTTATACCTAGCAGAGCTAAAAAAAATAGTAAATAAATAATAGTTTAAAAAAAAAAACTAAAAAAAAAACGAGATTACGATCATTTACACACTTACTTTTTTTTACTTTTTTTTCGATTCCAGATCCTTTATTTTTTGTCGATTTGTTATTTTGTTATTTTTTTTAAAAGTTCTTTCTTTTGTGAAAAACACCAGTTCATATTTTCTTATTATTACGTCGGTAACATCGATAAATACTATGCATATTTCATTACTCAGTAATTTTTATCTAAATGTAATTTCCAAAATACAAGATTTACCAAAAAAAAAACAAGGTCCTCCAGGTACCAAGACTTCAGAGCTTATTTATGCTTATATGATAGTTCAAGCATGGACCGAAATTAAAACGTAGGATTACTTATATAATTATGTATATTATGTTTTTATGAATACACGGCATTGGATCGTAGCTGAAAATAAATAGTCATGGTGAAATTTCGATCACTCTCATTCTCACTCACAGATCACTCTCTTGTCCGTCTGTCTGTCTGTGTGTCACCAGCGATTTTATCAGGAATGGTTGGACCTTGCATGTTGAAATTTATATCAGATACTGAAGTCTATAGTCCCTACTACTTATATAAAAGTCAAGGGACTGAGTCAATGCTATAAAAATATATGGACAATTTTCTTAATTTTCAACTGTTTATTTCTCGGAATTCCCCTTTACTTGTGCTGTAAGACTTTGCTTTTAACCAAAATTTACAACTTTAGGTCAACCGGAAGTAACTTATAGGTTTTGGGTCGAAAGGATCTGGTATAAATTTCGACTTGGTAGGTCCACCCGTTCCTGAGAAAATCGGTGGTAATTATTTATTATGGTGGTATAATGGGTAGGTACGGAACATGCGGCGAGCGGGTTCGACTCGCACTTGACCGGTTTCTTTAACACGTACATACACAGCGTCGCTAGACTTCCGTTAGGCACATTAAGTGAGAACTTAAGAGACAGTCAGTAAGCCTGGCCACGTCTTTAGACTACACAGAAAAGTGGATAAGTAGGAGTTTTGAAAACTTTAAAAGGGTAAACGGAGACTCATCAATTTCTATTTATAAAGTAAAAACAAGATTAGAATCTATTATTAAACTTTTTTACGCAAAATTGCTCATGGCCTAAAACACTTAAATATACCTAAGTTATCGATGTACCGTTCGCCTTATAACTGAAATATAATGGAAGGATTTATAAAAGTGATGTTACATATAAATAAGTAATAGCATGACGCCGTATTCCGAGTACACATAAAAGTACCAGTTATTAGCTCACTCACTATAGTATTATCACCGCCAATACCGTCTACTTGTCGAGTAAATAATAAGGCATTGTTAAGATGTCAATGTCATTCCCCATCGATACTTACCTTACAAAGAAGAAATTATAAATAGGACGACGGCATCTTCGCAATTTCACAATTATTAAATATATATTAAAATATGTAGAAAAAATATATATATAAAACGTTAAATAAACACGTCAATCAGATAAATGCAATGTTGAAAAAATATTTGTGAATACATATTGATGACTCGATGGCGTCGTTGTTAAGCTATTGGGCCGTGGGTTCGATTCCCACTCGGGACTATTATTTGTGTGACCTACAGATATTTGTTCCGGATCTGAGTGTTTGTACTTCCTCCTTCACTTATCCGACCTAGGAAAGATAAGTGCAGGAGGATGATGATAATGATGCTATATTCAGAAAATAAATTAGACCGGAAATTCTAGCTTACAGCACAGTTTCCAGAGCATTTCACACAATTGAATGCTTTCGTTGCCATGGAGTATTAAAAGCTCAAATTTTGTAGTCAACTTCATGGGCAGCCTACCCCGCATGGCGAGTGTTCCTCAAGGACTCCGCCTATTCTTCTCTCTTGATCTACAAGTACACGAGCAACATCTCGAAGGCGGTTCTCGAAGGTGGTACCGCCTTCGAAAACCGCCGGT